TACCTTTACAACCTACATTAGCTCAGCATTTCAAATATGTAGGTGAAATGTAGAGCCCACAGAGCTTTAAAAATAAAACAGATCAGCTCCATCTCTAAGTCTACAGTGTAGAAGGAAGAAAACCCCCTCACTGCTCGCTCGGCATCAATCAGGACTTACCATCTGAGTGGGCGAGTTGTCTAATTAACCACTCATCAATCTCAAAGCTTTAAAAGTGCTGTCATTCCCCTCAGGCTGGAGATCTTCCCTCTGTCTGCTTTCCGCTATCTGCAACTCAGGAAATCTGTGTCTTGGTGAAACTTGCAAGGAAGGGAAAGCAGCTCCACACTGCTTTTCAGCCAAGCCACTGCCATCTGTCTACCTACTCTGCCTGCTCCCTTTGATCCACCCCGGGTGTGACCAGTCTTTTGGCCTCAGTTCTACCCACAGCGTCTACGCCCCGAGAATCTCAGTTCACACACCTCCAGCCAAATGTTTTTCTTGCTTCGTAATCTTTTTGAGATATAGCTGCTGTAAGAATTATTCCAGTTATAACAACTTTCTGGCACTCTAACCATTTTCACACGAGCTGGGCCCTTATCAAGAGCTCATGGTGTCCAGCATCAGAGCCCTTCCCTGTGTTGAGGTATTTAGTATTTAATGCCTGTCAGGGTGTGTATGGATGGACCTTGCCATGGGCTGCATCGTGATGGCTCACGGGCTCTGCAAGAGAAGATTTCCTGATTTTTCTGGCAGATGCTTGCATTATTATTCAGAACTTTATATCACTAAATGATTTTTCACACTGATCGTGCTAGCTCATTCCTATAATATGTCTGAAAGACTTTTTTTGCTGTCATTAAAGTGTAGACTTTGATGGAAGAGCCTACAACTTGGTCAAGGCATCTTGGATCACATGAAGCCATAAGCTGATAAGGACATACCACCCACATGTTTGAGAGTCAAAGTCGGGCCCATTAACACACACATTGTCCTGGGAATAGAACTGCACAGAGACAACATTTGCCCCTGCAACTCTCATTTAAAAATATGTAATAGAATGTTCATTTTTGCTTTAAAAAATGTGACCTTTCATTAATAGTTTAGACATAAATTCCCAAGGAAACTAAAACAAAGCTACTAGAACTAATAAGTGAGTTTATGAAAATTTCAGTATACAGGAAAAACATACCATAAAAGTTATCTAAGTTATCTGCCAGTAATGAACAACAAGACATTAAAATGATAAAAATTATACCATTTACAAAAGCACCACAAACACGAAATTCGTAGGTACAATCATTGTTTACTATCCACATGCTGAAAACTACAAGTTGCTCTTGAAAAAAACCAAAGGAGACCTAAATAGAGACATATACTACGTTTATTACTATGGAGGCCAAATATTGTTATAATATCAATTCTTCCTAAATATAGATTCAACACAATCCCAATCAAAACCCTAGTAGGGTTTTTAAAATAGACGCTGACAATATTGATAAGTCGTTTCTAAAATTTATATGAACAGGTAGAGGCACTAGCATAGCCCAAACACTCCCGGTAAGGAGCAGCAAAGGGCTCACACTACTGGGTTCCGAGAATTACTGAAAGCTAAGGATCGAGAAGGTGTCACACTGACGAAAGGACAAACACAAACAAAGCAGAGCAGAGAATCTGGAAATAGACACATACACATAGTCAGAGGCAATCCAGGGAAAACAGTACAACCTTCCACATGGAGCTGAAACAACTGGACATTTTTATACAAAAAAAATGAATCTTGACTTATACCTGGCAACTTACACAAAAATGAACTCAAAATGGATCACAGACTCAAGCATAAACCATTAAACTATAAATCTATTAAACTTCTAGCGGAAAACATGAATCTATTAAACTTCTAGGAGAAAACATAGGCTAAAAGAGTTGTAACGTTATGTTAGGCAAGAATTTCTTAGATGTGACATTAAAAGTATGAAAGAAAATAAATTGGACTTCAGAAAAATTATGATCTGTGAAAGACACTGTTAAGAGATCGAAAAGATGAGCTACAGACTGGCAGAAAATATTTACAAAACAAAGACTTGACAAAGGACTATGTAAAAACTCTTGAAACTCAATAATAAGAAAAAATCAATATAATTAAAAATGGACAAAAGAGCCAAGTGTGGTGCCTCATGCCTGTAATTCTAGCACTTGGGAGGCCGAGGCAGGCGGATTGCCTGAGCTCACGGATTTGAGATCAGCCTGAGCCAGAGCAAGACCTCATCTCTAAAAACAAACAAAAAAACCCCAAAGAGCCAGGCATTGTGGTGGGCGCCTGTAGTCCCAGCTACTCAGGAGGCTGAGGCAAGAGAATTGCTTGAGCCCAAGAGTCTGAGGTTGCTGTGAGCAATGAGACCATGGCGCTCTACTTAGGGCGACAAAGTGAGACTCTGTGTCAAAAAAAACAAAAAAGAAAAGAAAAGAAAAAAGAAAAAAATAGACAACAGAGTTGAACAGACATTTTACAAACGAAGGTATGTAGATGACAAATGAGCACATGAAAAGATGGCCAATATTATTAGTCATTAAGCAAATGCAAATTAAAATTACCAAGAGGTTAACACTAGACATCTATTAGAATTTCTGAAAACAAAACAGAATGAAATGCAAACTGCCAATACCAAGTTCTGACAAAGATATGAAGCCACCGGAACGTTCATATATTGTGGGTGGGAATACAAAACGGTATGGTCACTTTGGAAGAATCTGAGAGTTTCTTATAAAGTTAAAATAGATTTACCATATGGACACCACAATCTCATTCCTAGGACTTTACCCAAAAGAAATAAAAACTTATGCTCACACAAAAACTTGAAGATGAATGTTTAGAGGGCTTTGATAATCACCCAAACTGGAAACAACCCAAATGTCCTTCAACTGGTGAATGGATAAACTAAGGGCAGTACATCCATAGAATGGAATACCACCCAGAAATAGAGAGGAATGAAGTATCCAAGCACATTGCAACAGAAGTGAATCGTAAGTGTATTATACAAAGTGAAAGAAGTCAGACTAAAAAGGCTACACATTGTTTAATTTCATTGGAAAGACATTCTGGAAAGGGCAAAACTGTAGCAAACCACAGGTACAAACAAACAAACAAATAACAACAAGAACAAAAAACCCAGCTGTTTTCCAGGATTAGGTGGAGGGGTAGAAGCTGATGATGAAATATGTTACACATTCAAAACATAAAATATAACAGGAACTCGGGAATATGGGAGTGTGATGGAGCTGTTCTGTATCTTGATGTGGAAACAGTTACATGACTCTAGGCATTTGACAAAGCTCTAATAATTATACCTTGAAACAGTGAATTTTACGCTTTAACATATACCTCAATTTAAAGAAAGCATAAATTTTAAAAATTCAGCAGGAAAAAGAGAGTGTAATACCACATATCATAAAATTTTAAAAATGAAAATTGTTTCTTTTTTTAACATCAATTTGCAAAAAATACACTTGATTAAAACCAAAAGGACAAACTTCGTACTGGTTGTATAGTTCCACCGCGTGGAATGAGTGCTTATGAGGAGAAATCTGCCCCTGCTCGGCGTATATCTTAGACCCGCAGAAGAGGAAACCATTGCTTTTCCAATTCATTACCTCTGAAGAATCACAACTAAATCAGCCATTTGTCTCCTACACTCTCACAAATGGCATTTGGTGCTTACTTATTTTCTTGTCCAAGTAGCCTGTTCCTGTAATTTCTGATGGGAAGAGTTCTTTGTTCTTTGGCCTCTTAGGTAAATCTACAGTATCATTTTCTTGAACATTCAGTGATCATTTCTTAACAAAAATCTATTTTCTCTTCATATAGAAACCATAGTGTGACCACCTTGTGAACACAAAAACATACAGGTCTGAGATCCAGCAAGACTAAAGTGAGATTACCAATGCCCTGTTCTAACACATCAGTCTTGCCAAAGTTGGGCATCATTACTTTTTCCTTAAACTACCACCTGTTCTATGCTAAATGCAGAATGTTGTAGAAGGAGTATTGAATGGAAAGTTATGAGTAATGGATTTTAAGGTCATTTTAGCCCCTAATTAGCTGCACGGCCTTGGTAAATTTGACAAAGAAGTGACCAAAATGTAAATAATATTTCATAAGTATCTTGTAAAATTTTGTAATGAATGTTTTGTAAATAAAGGGACACTTAGCTACAATTTCCCATTTTCCTTGTCTAGCAACTAGGATACTCTGTACTTTTTTCCAACTCTGACCTCTCTCTCCAGGGCTTTTATTGGAAATTTCAAATTCCTCTGAACTACACACATCACCTTTCATGTTTTTAATTGTTCAAGGATATAAATTCCACCGGAACTTTTATTATTACCCAAATTGTAATTGTTACTTATTTGTTCATGTGTCCAGACCCTCTTTCTTCAACTATGTTTCTTCAACCAGATTATAAGGGAATTACTCACATATACAACCTTGTCTTCGTATAGCATCTACCATATAGCAACACCTTAAACATGCCAGCTTGCTGATATAATTACTTGAGCTTACATAGTTCAATTTGAGGACATTATTACTTGACTCTGCAAAAAATACAGCCAAGTTCTACATACTCATGGAGTTTTTCAAGATTTTCCCTGATCACACATGGTGTGGTTACCAAAACTGTCTCCCCTGCTAACACATTCACTCCCCCCAGTCACTGTCTGGGTCCTCATCTGATTTTACTTTGTGTATAGCATTAACGCTCTCTGAAATGACCTTTCACGTTCTCTCTCCTTTCTCTGTCCTTTTCCTAATCTATTGTCTGAAGTCCCTTACTAGGATTTAAGTTCCATGGAAACACACACTGATGATGCTTACTGTGGTACACGTAGCCCCTGGCCCTGTGCCTGGCACACAGTAGGCACTCAGTCAACACTGACTGAACTGTAGCACTCATCCCTCAATACAGTGATATCTACTGGAGACTAAACAATGGAAAGAAACAAAAATACTTCACATGACTTACCTGTAAAGTGGTTCTACAAGGTCTTTTTCAAGAAAATCATGATCATTTTTGACAGCCACAATGTTGATGGGAAATTGAGAATCTGAAAGAAAAAGTGAGATACCAAAAGGTTTATGCACCTTGGTTTATCTGAACGGGCACCAAGGTCTGTGTAAGCCACTGATTTTAATCACAGTTACTGTCCATCGCCACTGCTGATAATGTTTAAGAGCAGACAATTTTAATCACAATAAATGCTTTTAAAAGTAAACCATACATGTGACATATGAGATTAATCATGTGCTTGACCTTAACCAGACTGGATACTAAGGGCTTGTATTTTTATAGCTTATCCTTATCGCAGCCATAAGGTGACATGGACTTGGAGAAGAGTGATCCACCCAAGGGGTGGGGCACTGACATTTACTCTGGTGATTTTATGAAATACTGAGTTTAACACATTGTTCTTTCTTTTAAAAAGAAAATTTCAAAAGTACCCAAAGTTCAGTGGTCTCAAACATTTTCTTTTGCAGCAAAATCTTGAGTCACTGTGGAGCATCAGTAAAATACTCAAACAACTGATCCATTCAAAAAGAAGAAGAAATTCCAACACCATAATTTTTCTCCAGCAGACTATTCATGCCAGCTTTGAAGGTCACCAGCAATCTTCAGAACATGGTGTTAATTTGGGGTGCCTCATTCATGGAGGTAACAACCTGGAGATCATCGGAATAGGGGCCATGGTCAGGTTCATTATCATTATCTCAGTACCCTTATCTCTTTTTTATCTTATATTTTGAATCACTGACACCTTGCCAATCACAACAAATATAAGGATATCTACATCTTAGTGTGAGTTAGAAATAGGAAAATTTTTTCTATCTTCTAATAAAAACAGTAATGTGAGTGACTTGTAGAAGGTGCCATGATGAAAGCTGACCTCCCTGCTGGTGAGGGGGTGTGTGGCCATGATGAAGGCTGTCCTCCCTCCTGGTGAGGGGGTGTGTGGCCATGATGAAGGCTGTCCTCCCTCCTGGTGAGGGGGTGTGTGGCCATGATGAAGGCTGTTCTCCCTCCTGGTGAGGGGGTGTGTGGCCATGATGAAGGCTGACCTCCCTCCTGGTGAGGGGGTGTGTGG